GGGAGCAGCGACGCCCGAGGGCGCGCGCCGATGTGCGTTTGAGTAAGACTGTCGCCGCGAGGCACGCTGCACCAATCTCACCACGCGCAAACAGGCAGAGTAAAACAAGTCAGCATACCGGTTCGGCGATAGTGCACTCACGCGGATTCATCGCCGTCGCAGACACGTTTACTTGCCCTGGCGCCGTTGCGATTACCGTGGACGGTGAGCCACCCTGCGCTCGCGCGTCCTCAAGCTGCGCGGCAAACCTCGTCATTGTCATGTCCACCGCGGTGCGCCGCCGCTGAGGACCGCAAACTTACGCATGGACTCAGCGCGGAGCGAGAGGAACGCAATGGTTGCATGCACGCATCCGAGGATGTGTAGGGATCGCGTGAGCGTCAGAGCAGAGACAACGGAAGTTTCACGGCCGCAAGAAATTCTGTGTCCAGCGTGACGCGCCACGAGGTACTACCTGCACCCATTCCGACAAGGGGTGCATACCGTCAGGGAGGGGGGAACGATCGACGGGCGCTTGAGCGACCAAGAGGAAGGGGCAGGCTAGTCCGCTTACGTACGCATCACTGCCGCTGGTGCGCCACCATGGATGCCCTCGATCGAAAGGCAACGCAACCGCCTCGCGTGCGTAGTCAGTCGCGCAGAGCCATATAAGTCTCAGTCCCGCCTTCGTCCGTGCCTCCCGTGCGCATGGGCGACGCCAATAACAACAAGGCCGTTCCGCGCCATGCTGGCGCTCACCTTGGCTGTCGACCACCCCGCACTGTTTCTGCACGCGGACCCTCCCAGCGGTCTACCTCGTTGGACAATTGTGGCCTTAATACGCGATCCTACCGTATCTGTGGTGCCCGGTGCTCTCTGCGCAGCGGCCCTCGGGGCGGAAGACGTGAGACATGGCGCGCAGAATGCACGACGGACATGGTGCATATACTGTGTTAGTGGGCAGGGGATTGATCGAGAGAACTTGCCCAGGTTTGTCCGCTACGGACCCGCTGTCAAAGTCTTCACGCGTAAGGACTGAATAGATGCATCGGCCGGTCAAGCTCCAAGTCCTTTGTATCATAGCAGGGAGGGATCACCAGACGAATCGGACAGGGTGGATATCGTGTCCAAGATTCAGCTCTGAGCGATCGCATCTCGCTATCCATCGCGGTATCTGTTACAGCATCTCTCCCTTCATCTCGCGATACAGCTCTACGAACGAACGTGCGCAGCCATGGGATCTCGTCCCCAGCTTTGATTGGTGTGACGGAATTATTCTCACAGCCTTCAGCGCACACTTCCTCATAGCTATCCATACATTCCTATATGCTCCGTGCCTGCTTCGGACTCACATTTTCAATGCTCCACATTGTCGATCCCGTCTCAAGGCGTTCATCACTTCAAGAAGTGTTGGACATCCATGCTTCCAATGACTGCTCCCGGTATCTTGATGAAATTGTGATCTTCCACACGTTGACATACTGATTCGCACGCGTCTGTGGTTGACTCCTGACTCTTTGCTTTGGCCATAACAGACCCGACGGCGAATCAGAGGCAAAACCCAAGCTTCTGTTTACACCCAGGAGCGAGATGGCATCGCCAAGTCATCGTGACCGTTGCCTTTCATACAATGCAGAATATATCGTACCATCTGCGCTGATAGGAGGGGTGATTGTAGCTATCAGGCGTTGTTTGCCCAGCCTGACGCACGAGCGTCTGCCGTGCCATATAATGAGCATTCGCCCGCACAACCTGCGACCACTCTCCTGCATATTGACCACTGCTGCTTTTCCCGGCCATGTCGACGTTAGCCCAGTACGCCACCAAAATGGTAGGCTCACTGCTCATCGGGGTGGTTTTTTCTCTCATGTACAGTGCTTGATCTCGATGATCGGCGCATGATCGGCTGACTAATTAATGCGCAGATTCTATGGCGCATTGTGCGCGCAGGTCCTGTACTACGTGTGGCACTACCCAGAGGACTTGCTCCGACTCAAGGTCTTGGTGGGCCTTGCATTTGTCTACTGTATTTTGTGTCTTTTATTTATGCTACACAGGTCTGGTGTCTATTGTATGTGGCCTACTGGTAAGATGTTTTGGAGCTAAACAATAAGCAGCATACTTGATACTATTTCCATGGGCATGAGTATTGGTGTGGGTCTTCAAGTTGGGATTTATATATGGTGCTCACTAGTCGCAACTTGCCAGTGCCTGTACCAAATGGGTATCTTGCCACAAGCCTCAACTGTATTTGTGCCTGCATTACCTAGGTCAGTATGCATCATACTTGTCACAAGGCTTACAGTACTCATATGATATTCCTCAATCAGGTCACTTAATGTTGGTCACTACTGTATTGGATTTCATGGCTCTCAAGCTTACTTCATTGCAGTTTGAATATATATTTGGAGTAACAAATTTAAAACAAGAGCTAGTTAGTGATTACTAATGATAGTGCTCAGGGAATCATGATCCTGATTATTCAAATGCAAGTAATCATAAATCCTTGGGGCTGCATGATTTTGACTGACCTATAGACATCAGATACTATGTATATGTGATTTGGCTATGTGAGTGAACACTTCCAGGGGTGTAGACCAGAATGATATATTCTCAATAGTATGTGCAAAAACAAGAGCCAATATATTTATTTCAATCACAATGGTATGTCATTGTCAATCAAATTGTTGTGATCTACTTATATGATTTGCAGGTTGTAATAGCATTAGGATCATATGGTATGAGATATACTTGTCTTACTTTCTGTGCAGCTCATTGATTGTTGACAATGCTAAGCCTCAGGCTGTGGTGTGTTATTGATCCTGTTTGTAGTATAAGATATGCACTGATGCAGTACATGCTTATTGTTTTCATAGCTGATGCATACTTTGGGTAAGTCAAGTTACGATGTGTTTATTATGACATTGAAACATTATCATACTCTTTTAGATTGGCATATACTGATTTTGCTGAGGCATTTGGCAAAGTCAAGGTACTACTTTCTATTCAGAATTGTATTTTTTATATTGAACAAGAGCCACAGGAGTCTGGCCTTGTTCAGCCCATCATGGCTGTAGTTGTAGATCTATATATTATGCTGGCACTTATCTGGACATTAAGACATGAATCTTCAAGTATACCAAAGTCAGTGTTATATATGATAATCATGATTATTCCATATAGTGTAACTGTGATTGATCAGCACAAAAAATCTGATCAACAAGCTTATTTTATTTGCCATCAACCGTGCAGCCTTGACAGTGTGTGTGCTTCTGTTACAAGTTGAGTTTGATATGTTTAACTGATGATGTGACTATATATAGCACTCTACAGCTTCTATACGCACTTGTGGCAAGTGCTTACCCTAGTAGGTATGCCACAGCTGCTCATCTATCTAGTATAGTTGGCAATTCTGGACTGGGAAGCTGGATACTGGATTGTCTTCCACTTTGTTGGAACCAGAAGTATGTTGATTCAGGTTGTTTAAGAAAATATTTTTCATTTATCCTTTTCCCAGTATATGCAAATTCAGCAGTTGCAATGTAAGCAGATGGTTTTTAAATTCAGTGATGCTGTATCTACAGTTTTGCAGGCTCAATACAAGAAAACATTTTAAAGCATCTAAAATTGTAAGATGATTGAAAATTTATATTTCCAATATTGACCAAAATTTCATTAGGTTGTCAATGTAGAAAGTATTGCACTTCCTGAAATGTTGTAATCACTTGTGTTCATACAGTATGGTGGGTCTGATTTTGGGATTGAAAGCTGAACACTGAGTCTACATATATCTGTACTGTATTCCTAAAACCAAGATATGTAGACTCAAGTTGTATGGCTCTGTAAAAATGATCAAAAAATAGGCCGTTCTCAGCTATAAAGTGTGGAAAGATATCCTTCATGCACAGTGAGCATGGCTCAATAATACTAACGATGGCTTGAGGGAATTTGAAGCATACTCAATAACACGACATATGTGCCTTTCCGCAGCAGAGAAGCGGGACGACAGTGCAAAGGACAAACGGCACCGGACTCGGTGGGCAGTGCGCTGGCGCGACAAGGATAGCAAACAGAGAAAGCGTCAAGTGCGCATACAAAGGATGTGCGAGCGAAGAGCGGGACAGACAGTGCGTAGAACGCAAAAACGGAGTGACGAGCAGAAGATATGGTGCGCGGGACAATGAGGCCTCAAAAGCAGCAGAGGGCGACAAACTCGCCGCACATGACTGCTACCGTCACCGCTCACAGGCTAATCACGATGGGGACGCAGCCGATGTTAATGAGGCCGTCTGCACGCGAAGCAGGTGATCACCACGGCATGGACAAACGCGCGAAGGAGGGACTCACTAAACGAGTTGTTCTCGCAGCAGACGGGGGTGCTGATGCATGAGGAGCCGCCACCGACGAGGCCCTCGCAGCCGAGTCCGACGTTATCGATGATGTCGTGCACGACCAGCCCGACGAGATCCAGGAGGGAGGAGGCGCGGGGGTCAGAGGGCGCGACGAGGTTGGAGCAGCATTGGATGGGTCCGGTGTTGCACTGGCCGCCGGCAGAGGAGGGAGAGGGTGCAGAAGGTGGCGAGGGTGGCGGGGTGGAGGACGGGGTGTCTGAGCTCGAGGGTGCCCAGGTGGTGGAGGATGACGAGGATGGGGAAAAAGTGGGGGTAGGGGGCGGAGTGGACTGGGAGGACGAGAACATAGTTGAGGACGGGCTGTAGTCAAAGACAGTGACGGTAACGGTGACCGCGGCGTCGCCTTGGTGAGGAGCGGCGGTAGCAAGGAGGGCTGCAGCGAGGAGGGAGAGGAGGCGAGCGGAGAAGTGCATGTTGTGAGAGACTGACGAGGTGGGTGAGAGAGGAGAGGCGGTGACTGAGCGGATCGGCGGGGAGGGCGAGCCTTTTATCGGCCGTCGTAGCAGAGCAGCGGCCTGGCTCTGCGCATCCGCGTCAGGTCAGTGCGAGCCGGCAGACACGTACCGCGAGTCCCATGGCATACCCTCGATTGCGCCAGGCGGGGGGTTGCCGTTCGAATTGCGCATTTTGCCCTTCGGGCTTGCTGAGGGGGAGGCGGCGTCCGAGGAGCCCGCAGAAGCCAAGAGCGATTTTCTGTCCCCGCCCCCGCCCCCGCCCGCTTACGTACGCTTCTGCCAGTGTCCCTGCGGATCTCAGCAGGATCCCAGTGGCACACATGTCCGTCCACACGCCATCCCGCTGTGCCCTGCACCTGCGCAGATACTTGCCCTCCGTCTGGCCGGCGAGAGCTACTACTGCGAGCGCCGTCTTCTCAACCACATAACCCGCCCGCCACAGCACAAGCTGCCTCAAAGTTGCATGCCGTCCGTGCAGCAATATCCGCAGACACGCGCGGGGTCCTGCAGCGATCACGGTGTCCGCGGACGGTTGGGCTTCGAATGGAGGCACAACGTCAACTCTCGTCGCGGGCGCCGGGCTTCGACAAGGCTCCAAGAAAAAAAGAGTGACGAGAAGACGTGGGCTGGCACACAAAGTGTCTGCGATGACGTCAAAAGCGAGAAGGGGAAGCGCAGATCATGTGCGACCCGCCCGGGCATCGTCGAGTCGTGTGCGCGATTGGCGGGTGTGCGGTGGGGAGGACGGAGAGGACGACGGTCGCAGGCAGCCTGGCACAAAAGGTCGATTGACGGCGGAGGTCGCTTTGCTGTCAGAATCGATCGACCGGGGATATCGCAGGCAGACTGCGTCGACGTGCGCGTGATTTCTCTGCTGTCACGCTGCATCCCGACGCGCGGGGGATGCACAAGGAAGGAAATTTTGCGCACGCCCAGGCTGCAAAAACATCCCCGGTCAAGTCCGCACGCCACCCCATTCGAACCCCCGCCTCGCTTCCTCCGATCACACCCCACGACTGCACAAAAAGGAGGAAGAAACAGAGAAGGAAGTGGAACAGCACCCAGCTTAAAAACCGCGCAGCCTCTAACTACCCCCTTCCAAGCCTTCGCTCTTCCCCACCACTCCCACACACCCGCCCACACCCGTCCAAGCAAGCACCATGGTCCCCACCCGTATCCTCGCCCTCCTCGCCCTTGCCCTCACCACACCCTCCCTCGCCCGCCCTCAGTCCATCGGCGGCC